AAAGCTATCAGTCTTGCGGAAAGATTGGCTTTATGCAGTTAATTCTCCAGCCCATCCCCTTTGATTGACATTTAATTCAGTTATTATTATTATTATTTTGCCCCAAACATTTTTCCAGATGCTCAGGGATATGCCAAACCCACACCAAACTGCAGGCTGATAACACAGTATGCGTCTGAATGCTCCTTTTGCAGTTTAACCAACATGCCTAACAAAATCTAGCAGAAAAATCCTGCAAGAAATGAGGTTGTCGTTTTCTTAAAAAACACTCCTCCGTGTTAAAATGCACTGTATGTAGAAAACCAAGGCAAGAAAGAAGATGCTAAATTGGAAGCTCTCTTCTCGCCTCTTAAATTGTCCAGAGGAGCCTTTAATTCTCTCCCATGATTTTATTGAATAAGTTGTTTCTCACAACCTCCCCCTAAATTTATTTCTGCTGTATTTTTGCTTTACAGCCCACCTGAAATAAATTCTGCTTCTTGGCTTTTCACAGTTAGTGCCAAATCTCACCAGCAGACAGATTCAGGATGGATCTGGGCTTGAACCTTCCAGCAGTCATAACCCTGTGGAGTAATTCCAGCACTATTGCCTTCCTTAGTTTATTTAAATACTAACTCCGACCATAGGGATGTGGTGAAATTGCAGCTTGCATGCAGTTTCCCCCATGCCAAAGGGCCCGTCCACACTAAACAATCATAATGCTATGATTCCATTTTAATTGCCATGGCTGGATCCTAAGGAATCCTGAGATTTGTAGTTTGGTGAGGCACTGGAGCGTTCCGATTGAGAATTCGGAATATTTCCTCCCTAAACTACAAATTCCAGGATTTCCCAGGACGGAACCATGGCACTTAAAGTGGAATCAGAGCATGATAATTGGGAAGTGTGTAAGGCCTAAAGACGTGGAAGTTGGAGGTGGATCTGTGTATACCATGTGTACAAGTGGGAAAATAGCTAGTTGGGTGGGAAGAAGCTGCTGCGCCCAATCCTTGCTCAAAATCAGTTGTTTGCTTTTAGAGAACGGAACTGGTGCTACCGTTCCAAACACATGACACAGTCGAACATGCAACCCAACCAAAAACTTCATTGCAGACATGTCCTGTCTTCCGTTGATCCATTTTGAAGGTATCAAATTCCATTGTCTTTTAAAAATCTGTGATGTGTTGTAATATTAATCTGAACATTGTCCATGCATGCACTTACAAAAAAAACAACACAAAACCCATCTGAATCCTGCTCGCTTCCTCAATTGTGCTACTTAATACACTCCTATAAATCTGTCTCTCTCAGATCTTTGGTGTCTAATTGAATATTGTCTCTCCAGAGTGGCAGCAACTGTCACGGGTTTCAAACCGGGATCACCCTGGGATCTACTTGGAGATGCTGGGGATGGATCTTGATCCATTTTGCATGCAAACACGTGCTCTGCCTAAACTGGAAAATGTTTACTTGTTTGGATGACATCTCCCAGATTCCCCTGGCCAGCAAGGCAGTTAAAGCAAGGTTGGGGGATTCTGGGAGTTGCAGTCCAAAAGGAGTAACATTCCAGGTTCTGTCTGCTCCTAACTGGCTGGCTGTATCCTTCCCAGAAATGATGCACAGAAGCATTTTTAGGAACACAGGAATCTGCCTTATACTGAGTTAAGAGCTGTGGTCTTATCTAGACCAGTATTATCAGCTCCGACACTTTTTAGGATTTGGGTTAAGATTCTTTGCAAGTGGATTTCTATGGTATTTTTTATTGGTTTCCCATTCACATACTAACCATCTTTGATCCTGCTTAGGTTTTGGAATCAGAAGAAATCGCTTGTAGTGAAGAGGAAGGTGGTAGCAGTAAGCAAAGGGATGAGATTCGTTTTTCCCAGCCCCAACTCTCAAGGACAGGGGTAGGCAACCTTTTTGAGCTGGGGGCCGGGTTGCTGTCCCTCAGACAATTGATGGGCCGAAGCACCAAAAATAAATAAATAAATAAATAAATAAATAAATTAAAATTAAAATTAAAAAAGAATTAAAAAATTTAAAAAATGCATGCACACTCTCTCAGCCCCAGAAAAGCCATGGCAAAACCCCTGTGAAGATTTTGCCAAGAAAACCCCAAGAACAAGTAATAACAACAATAATCAATATCATCATGGGGGGGCGGCGGCGGTGGGGGGGCGGCGGCGACAGGACCGGTGTGGGGCCGGTCCAAAGGCCTTGCTGGGCCGCATCCGGCCCCCGGGCCTTAGGTTGCCTACCCCTGCTCAAGGATTTTGCAAGGACTCTAAAATTAATCTGTTACTGAGAATTCATCTATTTTTCCCCACAGAGCTGTTTCTTTAAAACAGATGGGCAATTGCATGGAGATTAAAGGTCATTTTCCCCCAAGCCTCTTTCCTGTGGGCTGTATCCCTGAGACCAAGCCCAATTCCTTCTGTTTTCCTCTACACTCCCTCTCAAAATGGCAGCAGGGAATGACATTGCATTACTTTCTGGTGCCAGTTTGAGAGGGACTGTGCAGGAAAATGGAGATGGTAGGCATAGTAAGAGGGTCGGGGTGCATGTGGAGGGGTAGATGGGGGTATTTTGGCATGTTTTCATGCATTTGGAGGATTTTCTGCAGGATCACCACCCCAAATGTTAAAATTTAGGGTGGGATCTATGTGGCCCATGGGCTGTACAACACCTACCCTGCTTTGTATCTTTGATTTCTTTTCCTCTATCTTCTCCAGAAGAACAAAGGGAGACATCAGCTATGATTTAATACAGGGATCTCTTTTTTCCTCTATGATAATCCATATATCCCAAAAGACTGGGCTGTCGATCGATTATTTTAATTTTCTTTTCTCTCTGATACGTTTGTACATATAAATTATATTTTGAAAGTTCAGTTATTCCTAGTTAAGAGGAAGAACCTTGCGCAAAGCATTTGGAAGAACAGTTTTTCAGGGGGAAGAAAACCCTTTGGAGTGAAATGTGTGGCAGGATTATTATATATATATGTGTGTGAGAGTGTGAGTGTGTTGATGTGTGTACATACATATATAAAAGCTCTCTTTGGAAAAAAGACACCCCATTTTTTCCCCTTAACAATGACAGATTTGCCGCAGTTGTTGCTGAGCACCTTTTTGTTTTCGTTCACTCTTTGTCTCCCGTTCAGTTTTTCCTAAAAGAGACTCATCCTTTTTTTACTTTCGTAGCTCTTGGTCAGCCGTCTTCATGCAACTACTGTCCAGGAGATCTGGACTGCAGTTCCCATGGACTGCAGTTCCCATCACCCCTCGCAGCTGGCTCCCACTCAGTGGCTGTGCTGACCGGGGCGATGGGAGTTGTAGTTAGCCAGTGGCAGACTGTCTTTTCAACCCAGAGGTCGGGTGATAGCCAAGATGGCCAGTAGGACTCGCAATCTCGCCTCGACTTGGCCCAATTTCTTGCAAGCCATTGAAGGCCGCGGTTTGTATGACCGCAGCTACCATAGAGCACACTATATGAAGAAATCCTTTCCCTCGCCTTTCGCGAACCCTGTGTTATCTGCTTTTTTAAAAAATAATCCTTCGTCAAACCACAACGACAAACCCAAACTCATGGATATTTTTAAAATGTCTCCATTTTTACCATCAGGCGGATCTCCCGACGTCTCTCCCGACCGTAACCTTGTGGCTTCTGAATTTGCAATTGTGGCTGTGCACTCGTATAATAATGATTTTTCTTTGAATTTAGTGTGGTTGTGCCTTCCCAGAGTTTTTCTTCTTTCTCTGACCCCTTTCCTTTTATCCTTTGGCTGAATTTTTTAAAAAAGAAACCATGCATGGTTATGGATTTCAAGCTCCTTTTCCCTGCCACCCCTTTCGCTCCTTCCTTTGCAATAATAATAATAATAATAATAAAAATCTGGTTTGGGAAGGCAAGAGACTGTTTAGAGAAGCCAGCAAATGAATTTTGCTGGATTTCAGAGCAGTTCCATGAGTCGGGTTTCCAGAGCAGATATGACCTTCTATAATTTGAATTTAATCATTATTTGGAGAAAGCAACTAACTTCCTTTGTTACACAGACAGATTCCTTTGCTCTTTTCCCCCTTTGCACCCTCGTCCCAAAAGGAGCTGCAATGGCGATGAAAGAAGAGCTTGGAAAAGTTACTTCCAGGAATTTATATGGTTGAGTTTTCTGGGAGTTGTAGTCCCAAACAAGTAACTTTTCCCAAGCTCTGGCATCCAAGCGGGGAGGAGGGACTGCAGATGATTTTATAATTTGGAAGACTGTTTGTAATGTATAACAACTAACTTTGTCGGTTTTCAATAAAATAAACCCAAACCCAGTTTCTTTGGTGGGCTTTCTTGAAAACATTTGGTACTGATTGACATCAGCTACAGAACATGACTGACTTTTCAAGGAAATCTCTTTTCCTGGAGCTTGAATCCATTGCTCTGGGTCCTATTCTCTGGAGCAGCAGAAAACAAGCTTGCTCCATCCTCAAGAAGACATCCCTTTAAATACTTAAACAGGGCTATCATATCCCCTCTTAACCATCTCTTCTCCAGGTCCAAAGGACTCTGAGAATTCAGATATTGCTATTCTAAAGCAGCCTAGAGCAACAGGGACCAGTAGCGCACAAGGTTTTTAAAAGCTTGCTTTCAGGACAGTGCTCTCGCCCTGCAATTCCTCCCTTTCTGTAAGACGAGAGGCCAGGTCCTGAGACTTGGGAAGCTTGCTAGGAACAGTTTGCTGACCTTCTTTTCAGTGCCACACATCAGATAGCCACTAGATGGTGGACTTGGGTCACGTTTGCTCGTGGCAGGACCATGCAGACCAGTATGGATTAATCTTTTTTAATTTTAATTACTTAACCACAGCTGAGGGAAATGTGCATACTTTTGTTGTTGTGTGTCTTCAAGTCGTTTCCAGCTTACGGTGACCCTAGTGTGGGGTTTTCTTGGCAAGATTTGTTCAGAGGAGGTTTGCCACTGCCTTCCCCTGAGGCTGAGAGAGTGTGACTTGCCTGAGCTCACCCACTGGGTTTCCATAACTGAGTGGGGATTTGAACCCTGGTTTTCAGAGTCCTAATTCAACACTCAAACCACTATGCCACGCTGCCTCTAGTGTGTATACTATTCTTCCATTTATCTAGCTTTCCAACAATCCTGAGAGGTAGGCCAGACAAGGGGAGACTGCGATTCGTAAATGCTCAGTTGGAGATCTGGAATCTAAAGTGCTTTGAATCCCAAATTCTGTTTCAAACAGGGATGGGAACCATGCAGCACTGCAGTTCTGGTGCAACTGCAAGTCCCAGCAGCCACAGCCAACCTAGTGAAGGATGAAGAATGATGGGAGATGCAGTCCGACAGGGTCAGGAGGGGAATCTGTGATTCTTACCCTCAGGAATTGCTTGCTCCATTGTTAGGGAAGAGTTGTGGGATGCAACAATCCCCGTTGTTTGCTATCCAACAATCCGCCTGTTGTCGTCGTTGGGAGTCGGGGTGGAAATATAAGCGATTGTATTCGCCGTACAATGGGCGATATTGGTCATGGGAGGCAAGAAAGCGCTTCGCAGAGGCCGTGCCTCGGCCGTCACAAGGCGAAAAACCCAAAAGTCACCCGAGTGTGTAATTGCAAAACCTATTTTCCATTGTCTGGATGATTGAAGGGAGAGAGCAAAGTCTGGAGGGATTTGCAGTGATGCTTGTAAGGAGCAGCAGGTACCTTGACAGATATATTCAACCTTGCTCAGCCCTGGGCTGGACTTCAAATTCAGAAAGGCACAAAGAGATGTCTTGCTTTGCAGGACAGAGGCAGAAGAACGAGGAGCTGCGGTGGTTATTTTTTGGACTACAATTCCAGAATCTCCTAATAGATGTTGGGAGTCGTAGTCCAAAAAGGAGCACCAGCAAAGCCTGGGCAAGGGAACGGATGAATCTTTTTGGGGTAGCAAATAGGGTCATGAGAGCCAGCATGGCTTAGTGGTTTGAGTGTTGGACTACGACTCCGGAGACCGAGGTTCAATTCCCTGCTCGGCCACGATTCCCACTGGGTGACCTTGAACAAGTCCCACTTTCTCAGCCTCAGGGGAAGACAATGGCAAACCGCCTCTGCCCAAATCTTGCCAAGAAAACCCTGCGGGAAGGTTCGCCTTAAGGTTGCCATTAGGTCGGAAACGACTCGAAGGTACACACACAACAACAACAACAACATAGGAATTAATGCAGAAGAATTATTAGAAGTAACATCGAAGTTACAGACAGGAGCAGATTTTCCATACCTGCCTCAGTCATCAATGAAAGAATGAAGACGGCATTGAAAAATAAATAAATCAGAAAAAGGCACGGACTTGGAAGGGCAACTATGACGATCTTGAAGTGTAAAGATA